ACGACCCGACCACAAAGGCATTACGCATGTAATCCCGGCAAAGCGGATCTCCACAGTATCTCTGTTTTTCTCACCAGCCACAATGCGGATTTACAGATTCACAGACCTGCAATTGCAGTTACTCCTCTAGATAAAAATAAACCTTAACACACATATGAATGAAATGAGAATTAAGCATTAAGACTATTTTCAGAGAATTTTTATTATCTGCTATGCTTGCCCTTTCAACAAGGTGATGCTTACAGCTGCTATAACTAAGGCAGCACTCATTTCTAAAATACAGTACTCCAGACATGTGTTCTGCTGGTGTTGTGTTAATCAAAAATAGCAAGAGTTATTTGAGAGCTTACGGTGGAATTAAACATCTAGAAATAAGCACTAATTCCCTAATCATAGATGTTCACAACAGATGGAAGGGTAGAGTGCATAAATATTCCCAAGCGAAAATGTGATAATTCTGGTATTGCTATGGATTCAGAGGGAACACATCCTTCTGTCCAACATGTTCTCTGTGTCCTGTACTGCTGGCAGGGAGATCTGCATTCACCCTAAAAAGCTGTGATTCAATCACAAGATCACAGGCTGTGGAGGAACAAAAACCTCAACGTATTTTCCATGTGGATAAGAACCAAAAAATTCCTGCCTTTAAGGCCCTGAGGTCTTCATGCTATTGACCTGAGGTGTTTGAGATGGGAAATAAACTGAAAGAGTGAGTTTGAGAGGATGATGATTTTACATTCTGAGGAAATGGGCTGAAGTGTAACAGCTAGGAGGGAATAGATCTTAATTCAAGGCTGGTAGGTGTGGGTGATTTTTGAGAGCGACTGTTTGAATAATTACAAAAAAGGAAGACAAAGAGGCCGAACACACCTAAGTAATACAGGCATCAGAGCAACCACCACACCCCTGCCTCACCTGACCCCACGGGAGCAGAGCAGGGTCAGACACGATAATCACTGCGCTACACATTTACATCATGTTATTAATTTTATATGCCATGTAGTCATACTGTGAGTAGCCAGCAGGTGGCATCCTACCTTATTATGCACCACTGGTACAGTGATCCTTTTAGAGTGGACAACTGGTTGCAAGGGAGAATGCATCCTAGTGGTATTAACAACCTTTGTTCAGTGAAAAAGTTAATACAAAGTAATTCTGTTTCTTAAAACACTGCTCTTCCGTCTTTCCTCATCTCAGGAGTGTGAAGAAGGGTGAAAGGTGTCCTTGTTGCTTTCAATGTCCTGACTGGATAGGAAAAATTCTTTGAAAGGGAAATCATGCATGTAGACTTTTCCTCAAGGTTCTTTCAGAACAGTGATCACTTTTTAAGTGTGTTTTGGTCAGGCTGTATTTTACTTATATAGTGTGATATTTTTCAGACCTTCAGTCCTAACAAGTACAAACATTTCAAAGGACTCCTGAATTTTCTGTGCAAAAAGAGCAAGGTTATAATAGATCTGTGTGTACAAGCTTTTGCCTTTTTTTTGGTCACATGATTTAAGGACTAAATGATGGCAAACTGGAATGGAGTGTCACCTGGAGTTTGTGCTTGTTTAATGTGTGCAGAACCTTGAAAAGGTAAACGTGTACCATTCCAATTAAAATATGCTCTAATATCCAACATTTCCATACATCTTCACCTTCTGATTCTGTGGTGGTATACACTCGCTTGCAGAATTGAAAGCTATCATCAACAAAACTGATTTAAAAGCAAGTCTGATGCTTTGATGTGTCCCTCACTCCTGTTTGGCTATATGATTGTTCATTTTTAACAAAGTGGAAAACATGTGCCTGTGACTTGTGACTGAGCAGGCCGACTTGGTCTTTTCATGGTATTAAAGTCCACAAAATGCCAGCAATCTCACCATAAACCAAAGAGATCTAATGCACATGAATGTTAAAATATTTACTTTATTGAACTGCACATTTTTATACATATTTACAACAATTACAGTTGCTGCTTGAAGTTTTCAACAAAAGGCAACAATGACCACAGTACAACAAGAGAACCGCATACAGTACTCTACAGTACACAATCAGTTTCACTATATTCTAGTGTATGAGGTATTTCGCTGACCAGCGTGTTTTTAACAGGACTTTTTTCAGTGAAAATCCTTTAAGAAGGCCTCTTGATAAAAACAGTAATCTTCCACCTCCAAGGCAGAAAAGCTCGCTCCAGCCTCTGGGGTCTTTTATGTCAACGTAAATACGGTTGAAAAGGCAAAAACACTAAAAAATCATGTCTGTAAACACCCCCAGTCAGCAGACCCATAAGGCTGAACAGCACTCTGGTGCTACAGACAGCTTCGTACCCATGTCCACACTGGCTCAGTCTGGGGGTCTCTGGGACAGCCTAAAACTGCAGCGATGGGTTTCTCTGAAATGACGACAGGAAGTCACAGCAGCTTTCTGACCGAAGCCTGAGGAGAAAGGAAGCCTGGGGGGAAACCTTCATCTTCGTAGGGGTCACATTCTGGAACCTGAAGAGTCATCAGTTAAGGCTTCTCTTTAAAAGATGGGGAGGCTTTGACTTCCTTGTCTGGGCCCTCCTGTCCCTCGTTTCTGTGCCAGCAGCGGTGCTGACACAGGAGCACGGGGGTTCAGTCCCGTCCTCACAGGCCTGCGTCTCTGCATGGGCCACGCCCACGCACCATCACATCACTAGTGAAATGAAAGCCAAAAAAACCAACAAAAAAACAGACCAAATCCAATCTTAAACAACCTCAAAAGGAATACATACAAACTGCTGCAATAGTGCCTTTGGACATATCTTTAAATATATATTCATTTTTATAAAAACAGAAATCATTTCTGTACTTTCATATTTTATCCTTGTGCTGAAAATTTTAATTGTTGCTGTTACAGATACCAGATACCTCCTCGAATAAATCCTGGGAGGTGCATGGCAGCTGGCCTGGGTACTGTCCACCCCCAGCAACTGATCCTGAATCTGCTCACCCGCCCGGTAGTTAAGCCCCGCCACTGCAGGCGTGAAATGTGAATACTGGTCTGGGATCAGAGGGCAGATTCTCATTCGGACTCTGACACCCCTCTGACACGCCGGTGCCACCCCTGAGGGCGGGGTGTGTGTGTGTGTGTGTCACACGCCGGTGTCCTGCAGCAGGGGCTCTTTGGCCTCCCCGGGGGGGTGCTGGGGGCTGTGGGGGTGGTCGTGGGGCGAGTCGTGCTTCTTCCAGCTGCCGGAGCGGGGGGGCAGGTGGGGGTGATCCGGGATGAAGAGCGCCACCAGCAGGGCGAGCAGCACGGAGCACGCTCCGAACAGGAAGGGCGGGCCCGGGATTCCAGCAGCCTGCGGGGAAACAGGAAGAGGACGAGACAGCCTGAGCATCCTGCACCCGCAGGAACACAACGGCATCGTGGGTAAGGAGGCTCCATGCCCAGCTGGGACACACTCTACATAACATTCATTATTTTATATAACAGAAAACATTATAATCTATGCAAGCCACGCTATAAACAGTTGATTAGCACACACTGCAGTCTGCTGCGGGAATGATGCAGTGAATGTGGGCGTGTGATTGGCCACGGGGAGAGGCGGGTCCCACCTCCTCGTGGAGCAGAGAGCGGACTGTCGTCATGGTTTCGGTGACGGGCGCTTCCTCCAGCTCCACGTGGAAGATGTAGAAGATGAAGCCGTAGAAAGCAGGACCGAGGCCGTTACAGAGACCGCGAATCCCGGTGATCATGCCCTGTCCCACGCCTACACGCAAACATTACAGCGCGTTACGCTCATTCAGCAGATACACGCAAACATTACAGCGCGTTACGCTCATTCAGCAGATACACGCAAACATTACAGCGCATTACGCTCATTCAGCAGATACACGCAAACATTACAGCGCGTTACGCTCATTCAGCAGATACACGCAAACATTACAGCGCGTTACACTCATTCAGCAGATACACGCAAACATTACAGCGCGTTACACTCATTCAGCAGACGCTCTCATCCCGAGCCACTTCCAACACAGAGGAACAGAAGGGTATCCATCCAATCTGAATGAGCAACAGTGTCAGACCAGGCTAACACCAGTGAGTATGAGCACAACACCATTCAAGCACTACCACAGGTTAGCTTATGCCACTTTACTAGACAGCCTAGAAACCAAGGGAAGCCCAGTTCACACACTACCATACATCACAGTCACCAGATCAGGTGTGGAAGGTGCACTTATAATAAAAGCTGAGCGACACGGCCCCCCTCCATTCCACAGCCCACCCCCTCTGTGAACACACTCGACAGAGAGGAGGCGGACAGACAGCCACACGCGCTGTTCACAGCCAATCAGAGATCCCCGCTGCGAAGCGAGGGCGGGACGGCAGCGCCCGGGGTTACCTTGCTGATCCGGGTCTGCGGTGCGGGACACCAGCGCACTGACTGCTGGGAAGGTGATGCTGGACATGGCTGCCACCACCCCCGCCGCCCACATCATCCTGCGGAGGGACCGCCCACCTGTCACTCAAACGGTCTGCACACGCTCCCTCACACAGCCCTCTGCGTTACTCTACCCATAACCCCCTCACCCAGAACGACTTACACATCTCACTGTTCATAAATGTTATCCACTTAATCTAGGCAATCTAAAATCCGAGGCAATAAAAAAATCTAGGCAATAAAATCAAGCAAGCAATTCCAATGTAAGCATAAAAAACCACTTAAACCAATTATAATAATGAGATTTGTTAACTAAATTAAAATTTATAGGCAGTAGTGTAGCATAGCAGTAAGGAACAGGGTTCGTACCCATAAGGTTGCTGATTCAATTCCCCGCTGGGACCCTGCTGTTGTACCCTTGAGCAAGGTACTTATCCCAGAACTGTCTCAGTAAATATCCAGATGTATAACTGGTTATCATGTAAAAATTGTAACCTATGGAAGTCACTCTGGATAAGAACATCTGCTAAATGACAATAATGTAATGTAATGTAATTTATACAGCTAAGGTATTTCCGGTTAAGTACTTTGCCAAAGGGTACAGCAACAGTGGCCCATCTGGGAATCAAACCAGCAACCTTACGGTTAAAAGCCCTACTCATTATCCACTATGCCACACTGCTACCCAGTCACTCAATGAACACAGCTGAGAACACGCTACCCACCACGGTTCTGATCCGAAGCCATACCAGGCCAGCTGCAGGATCTGAAAGCCCAGGCCCAGTAAAATGGTGTTTTTGTTCCCGATGGAGCGCATGAGAAAGCTCAGCACCACAGTCTGCAAGAGACCAGAGGCCCACCGAGTCAGCTGTTAATCTGTAATGAATTCCCTCTGAACAAAGGAAACGCATTCATTCAGAAGTCAGAGGGACAGATCTCCGCTCTGCAGACAGTAGGGTGAACTTCATTGCTTGTCAAGGAAGGTGTAGGATCAGGAGCAGAAAACAGGTTTAGTGGCCTTTCTCAGCAAGCTGCCAACTGACCTGTGCCAGGATGGAAAGCAGTCCAAGGACAGCGATAAAAGCTGCAACACTCTCAGGAGAAAACCCCATTATCTGCAACAAAACAACCAACTCAGCTCACAGCTCACAGGTACCAGGAGAGCAGGAGAGGGTGCCAGGGGAACAGGGAAAGGGGACGTAGGTCGGTTTCAGCACCGTGTGAACTTTACACAAGGATCACAGACAAAAACACACATTAAATCAGTGTGAGGTGCAAGCAGCCCCCCAGTGGAGTACTAACGGGAGCGAGCTCAGATCCCAGGTTATGATGTCAGCACTGTCTTCACTGGACAGCTGCATTTGGGCATTTCTATTGGTCAATAATCGTCATGCAAAAACCCCAGAAAGGGAAAATGAGCAACCAAGGACAAACTTCAAGGTTTTAATCAATCATGTGCTGCAATCATGTTAGGTGTCAACGAGGTGAGAACATGCAGTCCCACTCTGGGGTCTAAATTACTCCGGGGGGTTTGATGTCCAACTGTAACAACACAGAGAGGCGTGGCCAAGCAGCACACTCACCTGCCTCAGGTAGAGGAAGAAGCTGGAGTACTGGCCTGCCTCGGGCAGGTAGGACAGAAACACTGTGATACAGATGAGAAGCACTGTGGGGTCCTGGCCGACCTTCCGCAGAGACTGCAGAGAGAGGCAGACAGCATCACACAGTCAGTCACAGGCACCTAGGCGGCGTCATGACGATGCGGAACAGCGGAGGAATGCGGGCTGAATATGACTTAGAGGAGGGTGGAGCTTAGGGAGGGATCAGAGAAATACCAGACAAAAAGACAACATCGGGGCACACTAATTTCCATTAAGTGCACTGTTGCGACCCATCATATCAGGACCGGCCAGACACACTAGGGCTGGTAAGTGAGGCTACTCCCTGAAGCTGCTTCCCCATCAGACGCACCATGTAAGTATGTATGCAAATAACCCCTCCCCCTAACGTTGACTCCTCCCCTTTCACTGCCCTGTCCCCTCCCTCTCCCACCTCTGACTCCTCCCCTTCCCCCTCCCCTCACAGCTCTGATCCCCAGCTCAGCTCAGCCCCGCCCCAGCCCCGCCCACTGCACTCACAGCGAATGGGTCGGCCTGCTCCCAGGAGATCGGCGCCCCCCACGAGGCCGGCCTCATCTTCTCGGGCAGTGACTCGGGCACCGCCACCAGGATGAAGCAGATGTCCAGCAGGGCGATGGCGGAGGCCAGCACCACCACCAGGCTGTAGCCATACGCCTGGCCCAGGTAGGCCCCGATACCGGGACTCGTCACCAGGCTGCCCGCGAAGGTGGCCGAGACCTGCGGTGGCCACCAGGGAGGCCAGAGAGAGCACAGTCACTCCAGGGAAAGAGTGATAACCGCACCGGGTGCATAAACAGTGCCACACTGACTCATTATTATCAGCATTTGTTTTATAAATATGATTATACATCAGCCTGTTTTGTACATGACCTTACTGAGGGTAATTTGCATTTGATCCAGGGGCAACAGTGTGGTGTAGTGGTAAGGTGCAGGGCTCGTAGCCAAAAGGTTGCATGTTCAATTCCCTGCAGGGACACTGCTGCTGTACCCTTGAACTTAACCCAGAATTGCCTCAGTAAATATCCAGCTGTATAAATGGGCAACATGTAAAACTGAAACCTGTGTAACTCCCTCAGGATAAAAGCATCTGCTAAATGACACCAATGTAATGCAATGATATAGCTGAATACTTACTGATGCAAGTCAGGTTAAGCTCACAGGTACAACAGCAGGGCCCCACCAGGGGACTGAACCTGCAACCTACAGCCTGTAAGACCTATTAGCCACTGTGCCACCCTGCTGCCCATGACAGAGATAAGCTACAGAGCAGGCTGAGTAAACAACTCTGATGAATCAACACTTTAGAAAAACACATGATAAGAACCAGTTAGGAGTGAAACTGGTCTGACAGGCACATTACAGATCCAGCAGCAAAAGTGAGACACAACTCAGCAGGTCAGTTCTCTGAAACGTTACAAAACGGGCCTGTTCCCTGCTTAAACTGGCTATATTTAAGTAAATAAGACATTTGTACTGGCTGGAGAAGAACAGGCTAACAAACTAAAATAGCAATCATAATTTGAAACTGTGGGTAAAGAGGAATGCTTACATCCAGACAGTGGAAAACTGCCAGCACTAATGTTTCTGAACTTATTTTTCTGCTGTGACTTAGTTTACCATATGTGTCATGATATACACCTTACCGTGACCTCAGTACTAAAACACAAACTGCATCATAAAGAACATTCCGGCAACAGAGAGCACATACCAGCCCATAGGCCATGCTGCGCTCATGCTCCTGGGTGATGTCAGCTACGTAGGCAAACACGACCGAGAAGGTGACAGCGAACACACCCGACACGGAGATCACTGCAAAGTACCACCTAAGACACGAGAGGGAGGGAGAGCAAGAGAGAGAGAGCGAGAGAGAGAGAGAGAGAGAGAGAGAGAGAGAGAGAGAGAGAGAGAGATGGTGTCATGCATTATGTTTCCACAGGTTAGGACAGAACACAAGCAGGAAATTCAGGAGATTCAAAGTCTTCGTGGAACACCTCCACACCCCCAGGGTCTAATCAGATGGTTCCTAAAAGGCTGCAGAGGGAGTCCTTCAGCAGGGAGACACAGCTAACAGAGCCAGGTTAACAATGACCCTCACTCAGGTTCCATTACGGCAATACACATCACGTGTTTATCTAGACCTATCACGTGTCCCAGCTGAAAGGTGAGGGACTTGTGAATGATTATTAGTACAGTCAACCCCAGATGCCTCCATATGCCCGGGGCTGATGTTAGGTTGTGCACTTAACCAGAGTGTGCAAATAACAGGAGCAGATAAAGTGAGTGTGCCAGAAAGTGGACCGGCTGCATACTCTGCATAAACACACAGGTGGAGGTGGGGCGGAGTCCGTGTGCCAGGTGTGCCAGGTGTGCGGGCTCACTCACCAGGGGCTGATCTTCATCAGCGGGATGGGGGCGCAGGTGAAGAAGACTGTGAGCAGGAGGAAGGACTTCCGCCCCCACACGTCTGACAGAGCCCCGATTAACGGGGCACTCAGGAAGGACAGCAGACCCTGAGGACAAAACCAAAAACACATAAAAACACACTCCCTTACAGTCCACCTGCTCTGTCACTGACATCACAGTCACAAACATGTGAGCAGAGACAGTTAATGACAGATGAGACCCCAGATTCTGTGCTTCCTTTGACGGCAGAAGAGTTCCAGGAAGAGCCTCTCTAAGGGTATTCTTACAGATTTGGTTCAAAGTGATTGCCTTACTGACACACTTTTCCCATGCTTATATCTGAGGTGATCATAATCAGCACTAAACTCCCATACTCCTCATAAAACAGGCTATTAAAACGCAACTGTGCTCATTTAAAAACTCTGGGTTCCACACCACAGGGGCACACGCAGCGCGCAAAACACAAAGTAAAATGGGTTCTGCAGTTACCTTTACTCCCTGGATAAGACCGTTCATCAGAAAGGTGTGCTTCGGGAACGTTTCATGCAAAACCTGCGCAGAAAGGTGAGAGAGGCAGCAAGGATGGAAATCTGACGAGGCAGACAAACAAAAACGGTGCTACACGGGCTTTTTTTTTTTTTTTTACCAAACATCACGCTGGGTTAGATGATTTACAAAAACCACTTACCACTAACGTAGGTGCTGTCAGCAGACCCCAGGCGAAGAATTCCAGAAATATGACGATTACAGCGTGGTAAACGCTTGGAGACCCGATTCCTTGTGGCTGCGCAGACAAAGAGATGCGCCTTTGGCTGCTTTCATGTAGCACATATAATGTCAAAGTGAATTTTGTCATTTCGAGCATGCTGTACAGCTAACCAGGCTAGTTACGATAATGTGGATAAACTGCATTACTGCCAGCATTTCAAAAAAGGCGATCTACATGCAATTATAGTTAAGTAGCAACCCGCAGCCACCCTGTAGACTAGACTGTAAACTACATGTGGGGGTGCGAGACGAGGTGACAGCCTTGCACTCATTTCCACTTAGCGGGGGGTTACCTAGCCAGCTAAAAATACACACTAACGGGCCGTTAAAAGGTAAACAAGGCTTGCTAACTAACAAGCTAGCGCTTCCAGACTGCATAAGGGACGATACATTCTTTACACAGGTAACCGATCAGTAAGAAGTCATGCTACTTGTCAATCTCTGAGCAAAACATATTTATACAGGCACTCACCGTTCCTCCATCCTTAATTATTATTTTTTTCACAAGCAACAGACTGCGGTTCGGCCGTTTCTTTTTACCCTGTGTCATATTACCATCCTAATTCTTCTTTTTGTTAATAAATGTCAGGCGAGCTAACGTATATTATACCGAACAAAGAAGTAAAGAGAGGAGAGAGGAGCGAGAAGAAAAACAGAAGAGGTGAGTGGCCACCCTGGACTTCCTGTATGCGCAGGGCTCCACTCAGTGCGCCGCGGCCATCTTTGCGTCAGCAGAGCGTCATACCGTCACCTCAGGAGCGCAAAAGGGCAGGAGCGCGTCAGTTACACACAAACACAACGTGGGAACGTACAAAAAGCCAAATTTCCTTACGGGCACTCGTTATGACATGCGTACAGTTGTAATTCAGATG